AAAGAAATAATCCACTTTTCGGCCCGTGCAATCCATGTTCTCCCGTCATTCATGCTTAGCCAGTTCCCATGTATTTTTCCCATGTCATTTTGCCCAGCTTATGTGTATCATCCTTATTCGTCCTTTCTCGTATCCAGGCTTTAGAATGCGCGTTACTCAGTCCCTCTTATTCACATCTTTCTTCTGGCCTCTTGCCAGGCCTCTCTCATACTCATGCAAAGTCCATTATACCTGTATCTCTTTTCTGGGCGTCTTGCCAGACTTTTCCTTAGGTCTATGCAAGGCTAATTTCACATATCTTTCTTTTATGAACATCTTGCCAGACCTTCTTTCAAGCCCGTGCTAGGTCAAATACTCATCCATTTCTCTCCTGGACATCTTGCCAGGTCTCTTCTCAAGCCCATGCGGAGTCATTCACGCATTTTTTCCTCAGCTGGGCACCTTGCCAGGCCTTTTCTCACGCTCATGCAACGTCAATTACTCATCCGTTCTTTTCTTCTGGACATCTTGCCAGGCCTTTTCTCAAGCCGGCGCAAAGTCAATTACTCATTCATTATTTTCTTCTGGACATCTTGCCAGGCCTTTTCTCAAGCTCATGCAACGTTAATTATTCATCCGTTTCTCTTCTGGACATCTTGCCAGACCTTTTCTCAAAGTCTGCGCAAAGTCAATTACTTTTCCATCCTTACGCACATGGTATCCTTCTCTTTTGCACGCTTTTTCTTCGGTAGATGGCACACCTTCCCCCCACTCAAAATGCGATGTCCCCATCGCACGACTAGTTCTCACACGGAGGTACGCAGACCTTGGCCCACCAACTGAGTAGACGGATGCCGGCCCATCAGCCCCAAAAAGGAAGGGTGATCAGTCCTCCCCCTGCTGATAACTCACCTCATCCCGTACTCCAGTCCGACCTTTTGCTGCTTACGAGACGGGCGTCATTACTGAGGTACCACCCCACATCTGTAAGGTAGGTCCAGTCCAAGCCTCCCAGGACCCCATCTTGTCGTAAGTGCTTTCTCGCGAATCGTTCCGCCCGAGCGGTGTTTTCTTGGATCCGGCCTCTTCCTTTCAAGAGAGTTGGGGCTCTCTATTAGTCTGCGAGTGCAGTTACGAAGACCTCGCGGTTAGTCCCGGAACGGTTGTAATGATCCGGCAGGGCAGTGTCACTCGCCCTGTGGTGGTTGCGGCTTCCACCCGGTACCACGCCCGATTCCTCCCTCTGGACAGTGCTGCTCAACTTAACGCGAGCGGCCGTGGTCCATTCCAAACGGCCGTGCCGCCCCTCTATGGCATGGCGTGTGGTTGGGGAGAAAAAATGAGACTTAGGAAAAAGAATGGCTCTCTCGCCCGTTTGGCACCACGCCCTTGACGTTTAGGTTTCAACATGAGGCGCAGTTTGAACTCCCGGACTAGAACTCGTTGTCGGGGTTGGTTCCGGACGACCAGCATCAATCAAAGAGAGACGTGCTTTGGTCCTTCAACCCTTATTCCTTCTTATGAGGAGCAGGTCGCGCTGAGACTTTTCCCTTAACGGGTAGAGGTCTTGGGGTCGCAATGCAGGCATTGTTATCACCCTTATGTTGAGACCTGAGACTAGAAAAAAAAGAAAGCTCAATCTCTTGCTATTTCCATGGTCGGCCCGACGACCTTACATCAAGTTGTCTAGGGTCCCCTGGCTATGCAGTGCAATATTCAATCTTCAAACACTTAATCCCATGCTATTTCCACGGCTGATTCTCATGGCTGGTCTGACAACCTCTCATCAACAAGGCCACCCACATGGCCGGTCTAGCGGTCATTTTCTCAATAGCCATTTCTCAAGACTGCCCCTTCCCCCCATTCACTCCTCAATTCTCTCATTCCTCAGCACCCCATCTCTGTGACCGTCCCAATGGTCCCGGCCCTTCTCGGTTTTAGGGTTCCGCCTTCTTTATCCTGTCCTTCTTATTCACCTCTTTCTTCCGCCCCGTTGGCTATTTCAGTGGTCGACCCACCGACCTTTTCCATCTCTTCCGTCCATCTCATTGGCTATTTCAATGACCGACTCACCGGCCTTTTCCATCTCTTCCATTCATCCCATTGGCTATTTCAATGACCGACCCACCTACCTTTTCCATCTCTTCCATTCATCTCATTGGCTATTTCAATGACCGACCCACCGGCCTTTTCCATCTCTTCTATTCATCCCATTGGCTATTTCAATGATCGACCCAGCGGCCTTTTCCATCTCTTATTGCTCATTCCAGCATATTCTTAATCAACCTTTCTCAATCAAATATGCAGGGTCCAAGTCCCTATTTCAAAAGGAATGACCCTTGTCAGGGGCCATTCCCGAACAACCTGGTTAGGGTCGTTCTTTTCCATTCTTAAGTCGAACAGCCTAGTTAGGGCCATTCCTTTCCATTCTCAAGTCGAACAGCCTGGTTAGGGCCATTCCTTTCCATTCTCAAGTCGAACAGCCTGGTTAGGGTCATTCCTNAACAGCCTGGTTAGGGCCATTCCTTTCCATTCTCAAGTCGAACAGCCTGGTTAGGGTCATTCCTTTCCATTCTCAAGTCGAACAGCCTGGTTAGGACCATTCCTTTCCATTCTGAATTTTAGTGCCCGAGGGGGTGGGCCTCGAGGTTACGGATCCCATTTCTGTCTTGGAGGTTAGAAGGTGGACATCTCATCTTTTGCGTGATGTTCTCTTTCTTCCTTCTCTCACAGTAATGTACTATCCATTCCATTTCTCACAGTAATGTACCATCCATGCGTACATCCGACTTAGCGTCTAGCACTCGAGTTGGGGCTCGCGACCCCAAGCAGCGCTAGCCCACCATAAGGCGTCTAGCACTCGAGTTGGGGTTCGCGACCCCAAGCAGCGCTAGCCCACCCGGCCGTTCATCCATAACAAAAGACAAAGGCGCCCCTTCCATTTTCACTCTTCCTGATCACTCAGGTTTCGACTATTCTCAGTCTCACTCATGACTCAGTTGGATTAGTCTCCTAGGGAAGGAGTGTTCTTCTCGCCCCTTAACCCATAGGTTCCCTAACCTCTCTTGTACTCGACCGATCATTCAATGCCATGGTTCGCTCGTCAATTCGTGCTCAAGGTTTTCCCCTCTCAAAAGCATAATCCTTATTCCATCCAGAATTCACAATACACCCTCTCCCAATTGGTCTCATCCCAAATCCCATGTCTTTGTCTTATGTACCCAAGGTAGCTCATTCAAAAAGTAGCCTCAAAAACTATCTTCTATCTTATCGTGACACAGCCTTAGCTGGCCCTCTTTTCACTTCATCCTTAGCAAGCTTGCCCATACTGTACACGTTTTCGTCATTCTCATGTCTCCGCAGACAGAAAAGCAGCGATCCTTTTCAATGCTAAGTCAACACCTAGTTCCTATTGCTGCCTTGCGCCTCGTCTTGCCCAGTTCCTTGTCCACCCTGTTCCTTGGCAGCCTTTCTAACCCCCAGGCCGTAGGTCTCGATTTCTCTTTTCATCCTTTCAATTTTCATTAACTCTGCCTCGTTGAAAAAATCCAGTGGTGTGGCTTCCACCCCTGCCCTTGCGAGTTCCCGAGTCTTGATAATCCATTCGTGCCTGATCACATTGGTCCATTGCTGAAACCAATGACTGGGCGTTGGCCCAAACCCGTCCTCCCATCTGAAAGCCTCGTCGCCCGGCTGATGCATCAGAGGCCGCCCCTCTTCCCTAGGCCTCGAGATCTCCTGATTTCTATGATTTCTCGCACATCCTTCTCTCGTCCTCCTCGTCTTCTGTCTGTATGGGGCTATATCCACCTGCAAGGTTATTTGGATCGTAGGTAAAAGGAATCTTTGTCCCCATCCCATACCCCTTGCAACTGTCGTGGCCGCTTCGTCCTTCAAGCAGGCTCTCCCTTCTTTCCTCACCCTCCTCATATTCGTCGCGCATGTCTTGTCCCCTCTCGCTTTCCCCATGCCAAGTCTCACGTCGCTTGCCCCTGTTGACTCCTTCCTCGTCAGAGACCTGAACCTTATTTCCCATCTCTGCATTGCCTCTCTCTTCCACTTGTGCCTTTTCCTTCCCTCCCTCACTGTCAGACGAGATTTTTATACCTTCTCCCTCGCGGAGGGGTGAGGGTTTCCTACACAAGCGTTTCCTTCCTCCCCTGCCTACCAGTGGGCCACTCATGAGTCCTATATACAACTTTCTCTTTGCCGCTCTCCTCCCTTGGCTTGGTCCTGCTTCCTCCCCTTCGGTAGGCCTGTTGATTGCCCCGCTGTCATTTTCGTCACCGAACTCCATCTTCTCTTTTCTTTTAGACCCTGTATAACAAAACAACACCCGCAAAGCCCCTCATGCACCCATTCCCCCAGTCTGGTAGGTAGTCCCCCCCCTTTTCCCAGAATGCTCCCAACATCCTTCGCAGCATGCCCCTATTATACATCCGAATGCGTCGTTTGTGATGACCCCATTTTTTTCCCGTCAAAAACTATGGTACAATGCCCCAAACATCCCTTCCCGTTGTCACATAAGCCAGATATTGCAAGCCCCCAAGTCACGTTGCCTTTCAACCTCAGTCAGTCCAAGCCACAGCGTCAGTCCCCAAAAAAAATGACAGTCCCATGAACATGGTCAGAGACAAACCATAGTGTGGGCAAGGCTGTGGTCAGTCTTTAGCTTGTAGCTCCTCAGTTTCCTTATCTTCGGCCTCCTGAAGCCATTGTTCCACTGGGTCCCGACTTAGAAACCTGACCAATCGTTGCCCTAAGAAGGGCCCTTTCAATCTAGTTCCATCCAAATCTTCCAGTTCGAAGGTGTTCAGTCCCACCCGCTTGGCGACCCGGTAGGTGCCTTTGAACCTCCTTCCCAGTTGTCCCGACCAAGTACTTTCTAGTGCCGAGTTCCTTAGCAATACCATCTCCCCCACTTGAAGTAGCTCCTTTCTGACATTCTTAACCTGGTCCCACCTTGCTTTGTCCCTCATTTAGCTGTCCAGTACCCGGTTGGCGATGTCTTCCATGACCTCCTCATTCTTAAGGATTTGTTGACATCTTGCCTCGATTAACTCTTCGGTGGTCATTTGCGGATCATCATCTAACCTATTCCAGGTAGGTGTAGAAGTCTTCTATCCAGTCTGCCACACTCCTCCCTATCTTTTTCTTGAGGGCGACTGCCTCCCCGAACCCGCTCAGGTTGTCTCGTGCATCCAGGATATACTTGTACCCATCCGTTGATACAGGCATAACCGCAAGGTCGAGATGGACCACATGTCCCGGCCCTAGCACCCGCATTGGTCTAAGCGGCTCGAAGACCCGCACCAAGCTTCGTTCTTGGCAAATAAGGCAAGTCTGGCAGCATATGGTGACCATGCCTGCCATGCCTGACCAATAATAGAGTGGCGTTATCTTTGCAAGTGTTCCTTTGGACGACCGATGACCTCCAGCTAACCCGTCGTGCATTGCCTGGATAACGTCTACTTGCCTAGGTCTTCCGCACACAACCCTTCTGGGCATAGCACCTTCCTCCCTTCGGAACAAATGGCTGCCCCTTAGGACGTACCTTTCGGCTTCTTCTCTTGCTTTAAAACTGACTTCCGTAGGTTGTTTGTTTCCTACCAACAACAACCCGATCTCCCGAAAGAGCCCTTCGTATGATTGGACATAGAAAAACTCCTCCCCTTCCTGGGCCCTATCCTATCCTTCCTGCATCTGGTTTACCACCCATTGCAACTCTCTTTCCCAAGATTCCACTAAGCTCAGCACTGCTTCCCGGCCTCCCTCGACCGCCATTGCCATTAGTTCCTCTTTCGGTCCTACTATCGCTCCCCATGAGTCCTTTTCTTCTCTGCGTCCTCGAGTGGTAACTGGTCCTTCTCTAAGTTCTGCTACTACGGCAGGTGCCCCTTCTCCAAAGTCTGGATCAATAGTTCTCCCGATGTGCATCCCCCGCTCATCATTTCGTTATCCACCACGAGAGTCCCTCCTTCGTATTCGAGGAATG